AGAGAGTTCAGAGAAGAGCCACGCGCATGATCAGAGGTCAGGAAAACAGACCTTATGATGACAGGCTGAGAGCTATGGGGCTCTTCAGCCTGGAAAAGAGCAGGCTCAGGGGCGGTTTGATGGCCACCTATAAGTTTATAAGGGATGTTCACCAGGATCTGGGGGAACATTTGTTCACCAGTGCGCCCCAAGGGATAACAAGGTGGAATGGTTATAAACTCCTCCAAGACCGTTTCAGGTTGGACGTAAGGAAGAACTTCTTTACTGTCCGAGCCACCAAGGTCTGGAATTAGCCTGCCATCAGAGGTGGTTCAAGCACCTACTTTGAATGCCTTCAAGAGAAATTTGGATGTTCATCTTGCTGGGATCCTATGACTCCAGCTGACTTCCTGCCCCTGGGGCAGGGGGCTGGACTCAATGATCTTATGAGGTCCCTTCCAGCCCTGTCTAGGAAATCTAGGAAATCTATGAAGGCTAATGGCATTCTGGACTGCATTGATAGGAGTGTTGCCAGTAGGTCAAGGGAAGTGATTATTCCCCTCTATTCAGCACTGGTGAGGTCACATCTGGAGTACTGTATTCAGTTTCCGGCCCCTCACTGCAGAAAGGATGTGGACAAATTGGAGAGAGTCCAATGGAGGACAACAAAAATGGTGAGGGGGCTGGAGTGCATGACTTCTGAGGAAAGGCTGAAGGAACTGGGCTTATTTAGTTACGAGAAGAGGAGACTAACAGGGGGTTTAATAGCAGCCTTCAACTACCTGAAGGGGGGTTCGAAGGAGGATGGAGCTAGACTGTTCTCAGTGGTGACAGATGACAGAACAAGGAGCAATGGTCTCAAGTTGCAGCAAGGGAAGTTTAGATTAGATATTAGGAAGAATTTTCTCAGTAGGAGGGTAATAAAACACTGGGTAACATTGCCCAGAGAGGTGGTGGAAGCTCCATCCTTGGAGGTTTTCAAAACCCTTCCAGACAAAGCTTTGGTTGGTATGATCTAGTTGGGGATGGTCCTGCTTTGAGCAGGGGATTGGACTAGATGACCTCCTGAGGTCCCTTCCAATCCTAACTTTCTATGATTCTATGACCTACAAGCTGCCCCTCAGTGGCTAGAGGAAGGCCACTAAATGTACAGTAACTAACTCCATGGGACAAGTAATGATAAAATAGAGACATGTTATAGTTTAATAACTAGGATGCCAAGGGAGAACATTGAGCAGAGAACTCTGGCTAGCACCCACTGACCTTGAATGTATCTAAAGAGCCAATGGACACTACCCAGTGCAAACTCTTTTTAGGCATGCACAGACAAAAGAGCAGAAGACAGCTACATAGCCACCCAGGTTCCCTCCAGCCAGCACCTCCTTCCTGGTTTGGTAGATGGACAGCTTGGCCACAGCCAGGAGGAAGTTGACCACAAGATCCTAGGACTTTGTAGTGCTGTGGATGTGGTGTGAATAAGATAAAAGCCTCAAAATTGGTTTTTGAGGAGGTAGCATAGGGGCATTCAAGATATGCATGTGCCAGACTCTCCTTGGTCTGGGACAGAAGGTCCATAAACTGGTTTGATCTAAATCAGTTAAATCTCATATTACATCCCAACAGGTTTATCTTATCTTTGGCCATTTTGTAAATAGTTTAAGTGCACTGAAATTCTGTTCTCTTACAGGTTTAAACCAGTTTCTGATCATTTAAACCGGTTTATGTGTAACTTCTGTCCCTAGTCCTTCTGGCTGCAGAGGGAACAGGTGTCAGGGAAATATATAAAGTGCATCAGGTTACACACTTATGCTGAGCAATCTGTTAAGGAGCCACTAATTTAGATTCCCCAGTGGAATGTGGGACTAAGGTGGAATACAGACTGGTTCACCATCCTCGCTGTCAAAGGTGTTCTGCAACTTGGTGTCTAGGTTAAACAAAAGGGCAGGGTGGTGAATGGTATGGAGCATAAGCATGTAGAAATGGGAGTGATGGGTTATCCAAAAATGGACTGGTTTGATGTCCCCCAGCTTGCTGAGATGGTGCAGCGGGGAATACCAGAGAGGCCAGCAAGGCAGTGGTCCCACAACTACCCCTTCCCCTTCCCCCTGCAAAAAAAGTACCTGCTGGGAAAAATACAAAGTCGGCACCTATGTAGTAGTTCCTAAGAAAAATCATAATGATGTAGTCGTGATGATTCAGAAATTATGCAAGAAGCAAGGATTTCTTAAGGTGATATTTTTTTATCGGACCAATTATGTAGTTGGGATAAAGTTAGACAAGCTTCTGAATGCAAGACCTTTTTCCTCAGGTCTTGCATTCAAAAGCTTGTCTAACTTTATCCCAACTACATAATTGGTCCTACAAAAAATATCACCCTAAGATAGCCTTGCCTCTAAGGATTTCTTGTTATAAGGCATACAACAAGGCCACCACACAAACTATAAGGTTCATAAGATGATTGTGTACACTTGATAGACTGGAATGACCTTGAAAGAAGGGGGTGGTTTTTGTCATATGTTTTACCATTTTCCATGAAAGTTCAAAATAATCCAAATGTCTGGAAAGGTAATTTAATGTTTGAACTGAACGTTGTGCTTAAGGTTCTTATTTAAAATATCAATAATTATGTAATTCATAGCTAGTTCTCCTTGGTTCATATATTGTTTAATGATGTTCATGTCTATTTGGCTTCCCTCCCACAGCTGATACTAGCATGAAGTATGCCTTGACCTATATACTGTACTTTGCTTTCCAGAGTTTTCATCATCAGATTTCTGAGTGTAATTTTCTAGGAGAATAATTATTCATTTATTTATTTATTTATTTATAGGCTTCTTTGTGTGGTAGGTATATTAATTGGATGGAAACTATGGCGTTTTTATGTTGAGCTTTAATATTTGAAAATGAAGTGCTGTGATCAATGCTTTTTTTCGTTTTTAATCCCTTAATGTAATCATTACCATCATTATTCTGTATATTTAAATGTCAAATGTGACTTGAGATTTCTTCATACATTGCAAGGTCTTGAACAATTGGTTTGATCTACTGATAGAGATTATATAAAATTGTTAATTTGACCCACATGTTCCCATTAAATATAAGAGAAAAAATTCAATGTTCTGGCTCTGTCAAAGACAAAAGCACTTTTTATTGTGGAAGTAAATAATTAACAGCGTATTCATGTAATTTCTCCATGATATTCTTATTAACATAGATAATGCTTTCAATGAATAGCACCGCTCCAGAGTCATTTGTGTTTTATATAAAACATGCATAATGCCATTTCTTGGTACTATGAAGACACCTTTCCCTGCTTACATAGTATTTGCTTCTAAAACAATTGCTTTAAATGAGTGCCATCTAGTGTCTAAAGGCTGCAATATGACTTGTGATTAATATAGTAGTAGACGAGAATTTTATTAGGTGTGGTTCAAAATAATTATTACATCATAATTCTACAGCAATTTGAACTGGAATAGTGTAATATTAATAGAGGAAAATGTCATTCTTGAACCAAAAATTAAGGAAAATTAATTGAAATGATGTTCTGTGTAAAGACTGGATCCTTAATGTCAGCTATGAGTATATTACTATGCTTAAATCAAGCCTTATCTTTAAAAAGATTCATATATGTACAGATGCACACATACAGGATTCTTCAGGAGTATGGATTATTTTTGTCTGTATTTGACCTTCAATGAATGACCTGACAGAATCTGGATTTAATTTGTAATACAGAAACCAATGCAGTTTGTGGCCTGCATGAATATTCTATGCTGTTCTCTTAATGATCTCAGAAAAACATAACTGTGCCTTGTAGACCCAGCTGCTTAAAGGTACATACACAGAGTTTTAGAAAATTCATGGGGATACTGTGAGAGCTTTATGAGTTGAGTATTTGTCGATTTTTTTTCTTTTTTATTTATTTTAGAGTCCCCACTGTTGCAACAGCTACTTGCTCATTTACACATTTTTAAAAAAATCCTGAATAGGTAATTGACTTAAGCTACTCAGACTTGCTTTAAGAAAACCAGTGTCTTTTTGTCTTGAATAAACAAAAATGGACCAAAGCTATAATACAAATCAAATTTAAATATCAGAATATCAAAATCACATATATGGAAGAAGTAGCCATATTACTGTAATTTATGTAACATACTAAGTCCTGTTGCTTCAGGGGAAGAAATCATTTTGAAAGATTAGGAGATAAATAGGAAATTAAATGTGTTTAGACCTAACTGGATTTCTAACGGCTTAGTTTTCTTCCTTTCCAGTTTACGATTGGTTTGTTTTTTCTTTCTTAGATGAGTGCTAGTGTATATCCTAAAGCTGTGAGGGTGATCTTTTGCTCGACTAGCACATCACTTCCCTAGCTGAGAATAGTGTAGTTTAAATGTAAAGTGGGTGGATTAATAGAGTGAGTCTTCCATTAGTATGTCCTGCTGTGAAATTGCATGTATGTGAGCAGACCTATTTGTATGCAGTGACAGAATCAAGGGTTTAGGTTTTGGAGGGTTGAGCTTGAGTGGGGCTCATTAATGAAGTGTAAGATATGTGCATACACGTATTAATATGTATTTACCCACTCTGTTTTGTGGTACTGCGGTCCCCACCTTGCCGTTTGAACACCACAGGTTTAAACCATTTGAGTTGAGTTCTTTTCCAGCAAGTGGAATGATCATCATTTCAAACTGTATATGTGCACAGGGTTTTTAAAAATCATTTATTTATTACTAATTATTACTGTTCTGATTTCTATTTCAGGAACTTTAAATTGGAAGATGAAAGGCAGTGTTACTGAGGAATGGCTCTATTTGGACTTCTCCCATCAATATGAAGATTGCATCTTTCCTCTTCATTCATCTGTAGCCTTATTTTTGCTGTCCTACTGTGACTGCAAATTATTCAAAGTTTTCTTAGTGCCTGCTGGTGAAAGTGCAGATGACCAGCTTGAGGGCAAAGCATTGCCTAGTGATCCCAAGTTGCACTTTACCTCAAGGTGTCAGCTTCCTTTGGTAGTCCAGAACTGCTGTTTGCCTGCTATTGTGGGGAAAGATGGCAAATTCTGTCGAGCTGGTCTTGCTGTTGTGCTGAGGTACATAGTACAGAAAACATATGAGGCTGACCCATCAAATAAGGAAGCTTTAGAACTTTTGGGATTTAAAAAAACCTGCTTAAAAGCCTGTGCTGAAGTGAGTGCATCTTTTTCTGTTAGATATATTAATTCTTTTACAGTACAAAAAGTAATATTTTAAATTGGGTTTCAATGTGGATGTCAGCGGTAGTGTCCAATTAGCAAATTTTACCATGTTATTTCCTAGTTAGTCCAATAGGACACTGTTGATTCTGGCATAAATATGAGCTGTAATTATTTAAAACAAGCAGGGAAAGGAAAAAGAGGCTTGTATATTTAAGTAATATTAAGATGAAAACTATAGGTTGGGGAAAAGTGTACTTTCACTGGTAAGAGTGATGGTATGCTGATTTAGACTAGTTGAGAATCTGTTGCTGTCTGTTTAAAAAGGAAATTCAGTTTACTTTTAATCTGCCAATATCAGATTTTAGCGTGTCCACGTGAAAACTGTTATCACTTCTTTTGAATCGAATGAAAATACAAATTTCTTATACAAGCATTCAAGATGACACCAATTGTAAAGTAAATGTAGGACCTTGAACTCAGGTCCTAGAGGGTATGTAGAAGAGAAAATATTTAAAGTCTAATCAAATGTATAAGTCCATAAAGCTATGGTCTACTTATGCTGAAAAAGGACTGACAGCAATTCTGAAAGGAAGCTAAAGGAAGCTAGAACACTACTACGAGCAACTGGAGCCAGTGGGGATTGGGAGGGTGGAGGGGGAGGGACGAGGAAGAAGATCCTTAAGTAATCTAGGTCGGGGAATAACTTCCAATGTAAACTGTGTTCCTTACTTCTGAATCATGAAGCTCTCTAATGCCCTTTAGACAGTCTAGATCATTCATTATTTGCTTCATCTGCACCACATGATTGGAAAGCTATTTTACTTAATCACCACTGTGTAAAATACCTTCTTAATTTTCTCTCATGTATGTTCTTTCATACCATTTATGTCATGTAATTGTGGTCTGTTCAGTAATTTCAGATAAGGTTTAATTGAAGAACAACTCTTAACTATGGTCCTGTAACACGAGGCTGTACTAAACAGTGGGCACCTCCATATGAGATGCTTTACTGCACATAAGTCTAATCTAATGCATAGTAAAGTATCACCATTTACATGTGTGCTGGACTAACTGTACATTAAATTAGTTTAATGCATCATTTGCTAGTACCAACATATACAGGTACTAGATCAACTGTACATTAGGTAATGCGCAGCAGCAGATGTGTAGATGCTGACTGGGAGCAATTTTGCTTCTGGTTAGCACAGGCAGCAGCGGGCCACTTCTGCCTGGTTAAACCCCCATGGCGGGGGAGCTGTGTTGGCTGCAGGGGTAGCTGGCTTCTGCCCCATGCACATTGGGACCAACCCCTGTACCCCCTGACAGCCCCTGGGCAATATCTATCATTCTTATTTTCCCTCAAATACACAGAGAGGTGGCTCCCACTGTAAATGCTTGTTAGCATCAGGTTCAGTATGATTATTTTTTTAAGATGAGGTTTTTGTTGAACTCGGTGCTCTGGTGCCATTTTCAGCCTGTAACTACATGGTCCAGATGACTTAGCTGAGAACAGTCTTCAACATCTTATCTCCCTGTTCACCAGGGTCTTGGCTACTGTGTGGTTTTCCCACCAATGTTGGTTTTTTCTGGGTGCAGCAAAGTATACCATGGTTTAGACTAACCTGCAAAGATTGAATCAGTTTAGGCTCTGGCTTTTGAATGTCTCTCCCTAGCCTTAAAGGTGCAGTGGGATCTGATCTCAACAATTGTGCCTTCTCCCATACCACATGTGCATGGCAGGAGGCATGATTGTGGGATCAGGAATCAGATCCCTGTCACACCATATTGCCAGGGTAGGGGGAAACCAGGATTATAATCATGATCTTGGGCACCTCTTGCATCAGCAAGTTGGGTGCCCAAGAATCAGCTGATTGTCAGCGGATAAAAACTGCCCCAGGGCTCAAGTCCTAGGATAGTCCATATCTGCTGCCAACTGGCAGGGACCACCCTGGAGCTTGAGCCCTAGGCAATCCCTTCATGGCATTCCAAACACTCAAGTTATAGCACCATATAAACCAGACTTCAATGATATTACAGTAAAAGCTCTTTTATCTGGTATCCCCCTGCATTTCAAAATGGTGGTGGGGGGCACTTTAACTAAAGCTTGTCAAATGAGCTTTAGTTAAAGCGCCCCTGCCACCATGTTGAAGCACAGGACACTGAATACATGTGATGCTCTCAGAGCCACTCTAATTCAAGCTCCCAGAATGTCATGTGTATCTGCGTTCCCACGCTGAAAAATGGTGGCAGGGACACTTTAACTAAAGCTCGCTGAACAAGCTTTAGGTTAAAGTGCCCCTGCAGCCCTTTTTCAGCATGGCGATACTGATGCATATGATGATGGAGTTTGCCGGAGCATGGTAATTACCAGGCTCCAGTAGACTTGATTAATTGAGCCTACTCTGATGCATTGCAATTACAATATGGCGGAGCAGCCTCCCTGCATGTGTATAGGCACCCTTATATTATAGATCCTGCATCTTCCACTGCAGTTTGTTTTGATCTTGTGATCATGCTTACTGAGACAAACTCCTTTTGGCTTGTTTTCCTTAGGAGTTTGGTTTTTAAATCATTTAGGCATATTTGAATGCTCCTGTGAATCCCAGATTTGTTAGTTTCTTTTCAGGTGTAAACCATGCACTAATGTTCTCATCTATTTAGGCTGCTGTAATTCCTTCAAAATTAAAACAGTGTAAAACTGTAGTAGCACAGTGATGAATCAGTTCTTGTGGACTGTGGAGAAATATGTGCAGAGGTTGCATGTATTTTAAGTCTGTCCACATATATAGCTAGTAATTTAGGAGTTTAAAAGATTTTTGCATTTAAAAATCATTTCAGTTAACCTTTAATTTTAATGCATCTTAAATATGTATGCTCCTAAAATTTGGTATTTTAAGATGCCATGAAACTTAAGTGACCACCGTAGGGGCCAACAAAAATTAGTTACCTAGGAGAAAAGATCTTTAACTAAAGGTCAAACCAAATCGTGCTGGAAATATTGAGATTTTTTTTTAAACTGCTCTCTAAAGAAATGGAGTTGTCTGTTAAAGGTAGTTCAGGTTTGGTTAATGAACTCGTACTTGCTAATTATGAATGCTGCTAACTACTACTATTTCACGAGTATAAGCTCCTTCCAATATATGTGTAAACAAGAAGAGTTGAACGGTTTTCACCCTTATTTAAAATGTAATGTTTTTATTTACTTGCAAGTCATTTAAAAATTGGATTTAACTGAATTAATGTTTGAGATACTTTTGAACACCAAACCAAACCAGGACATAGGCAGGGAACATGTTGTCTTCATCATAAAACTTGAGTAATTCCTGAGTCTGCAGTTTTCTCCCATTGTCAATTTTTTAAAATATTGTGTGAACTATTTCCATGAAAATCCATAGTATTTATGGGAAAATTAATTATAATCTGAAATAGAGGTGCACTGATACATTGGTTTGATGTCTGATCTGTACCAATACAAAAAAAATTGGCTGTATTGGAAATCGGCCTGATGGGGCCAATAATTTGACCGATAAATGCCTGTGTTTCGCGCAGCCGCAGCACAACACTCAGGCAGCGAGGACCAAAGCCGGTAGCTTGAAGAGCTGCTTCCAGCTGGTAAGTCTGGTGTGGGGCTCTTCTTGCCAGGGGCTGGGCTCGGAGCAGACGCTGGTGGTGCTGGGAGGGGCTTGCAGCCACCCCAAATTTTGCCGCAGCTCCCCTCCCAGCGCTGCTGCCACCAGCCGCCTGGCTCAGTCCCGGCTCTTCCCAGCATGTGGATTTTCAATGCTCAGTGCCCCACCTCCACCCATGAGCTGGCACTGCGTCGGACGGCTGGCAGTGGCGGCACTGGTAGTGGAAATGTGGCAAAATCGGGGTGGCTGCAGTCCCCTCCCAGTGCCACCAGTGCCCTCTCACTGCCTCCCGCAGGCCCCTTCCCTCCCCTTCCACCACACAGACGTATCAGCTGGAGGCAGCTGTATCAGAAATTGGATGGGTGTAGGCTGATATGCCTGCTTAAATATCAGGTATCGGTATCGGCCCCCAAAATCTCTATTGATGTACCCCTAGTCTGAAATTATGCAACTAATATAGTGCAAGTGGATAGAGTTGTGATATGGGTTATACAATTATATTTAGAGAGATTGTAATTTTACCTCTCCCAATCCCCCCCAAAAATGACAGAATTGAACTGAAAATCGTTTCTATGCAAGTTAATTTGATGGGATCGATTCTGGATTATTGTACCAGTCAAGTAAATTGAACAAGAGGGTAAAGTAGAGTCTGAATGATAACTTAAAAATATTTAAGTAGAAATAAAGGGAAACAGATTTAGAAAAATAAACCTTAAATTGTTAAGATAAAAACTTGGACTTACTGATACCACATAGCAAGAAAGCCATGCCAACTTTGTTCAAAAACAGTTCTGAAAAAGCTTTTAGAGAAAAACAAAATTGCATGCAGCACATTCATAGATGGGATAGGATTCTAGTTTTGTTGGCACTTATTTGGGATGACCTACATCACTTAGTCATAGCTTTTACTTCTCATGAAGTATGCAGTGATCCCAGGTTGCCACCAGTAAAAAATAAAAACAAATTAACAAACTTTTAAACACACCAGGTACCATTTATTTATTACTTTGGCATATACAATTTAATATCCTGAATGAAATAGTGTTATATCATTAGCAATGTCAATATTTTACCCTGGCAGATATTGTGCTTTTACCATGCATCCATCAATTCTTGGTAAGAAAACAACTTGTATATAATTACATAGTAAGGAAATTGAGAGATCAAATTCCACCCTATTTACATAAGTTATATATAATGCATGTGTTTTGTGAGTTTGTAAGATAATCACAGTATATCTTTAAAGGTGGAAGTTGCACCTCGTTTGGAGAAACTTTTTAGATAGTCCTAACCATTCTAATGAGAACATGCTTATTTAAATCTATCTGATAGGTTAGCCAGTGGACCAGACTTTGTGAAATCAGCATCCCTCTGGCTGTTGAGAGCTTTTTGACTGCATCTCCTGAACAGTGTCAGACTATTCCACCTGAGGTTTTGCAGCTTGAGAAAAAGCTTGGAGAACCTGTCAGGGTGCACAACGATGACAAAATCCGAAGGCAGAAACTGCAGCAGCAAAATACAGCTGACAATACTGCTTCACTGCCTGCACTTGCAATGGGAAACACAGAAGAAGGAATAATAGAAGAAAAGCAGGAGCAAACACTCACAAGCTTGGAACTGAGAGTGGCTTTTTCCAAATTAACTGTGCAGGAAGTACCAGCTACAACCAACAGGGAGCCCCCTCTCATCAGGAAAATGAAAACCTCTGACCTCCCACCCTTGGAGCATATTTTTGCTGAAGGACTTTATTTTACCCTGGCAGACCTTGTGCTTTTACCATGCATCCATCAATTCCTGGTAAGAAAACAGCTTATGTATATTACATAGTGTAAATTTCTTTTAGAAACTGAAAGGTTATAAAAACATTTTGTTTTAAGACATGTAGAGGTCAAACAAAGTGTGTGCTGTATAGTCCCTCAGAATGGGAAAACTGTTTTGTTACCTTATTTTTTTGTATGCATAGTATGGGAAATATACTATACTGCTTATCTATCCTTTGAGTTTTAAATATACAATAGCGATCACACAGCCGTTGATATGCTGCAAATAATTCTTGCCTATTTATTATGTATGTATTGAAATACATTTATGTCACACACTGGCTCTCCAAAGGTGTGTTTTTATTTAAATACTTTCTTCCCCCTAATACTTTCCTTAGCTATTTCTGTTTCCACGTATATATCTTGATGAATGGCTGGCTTGGCTAAATTAGACTAGAGCTTGACTTCCATTACTTTTCGCATTAGAAATTCAGAAGAGAGTTGTATCCAACCTCAGAAGGCATTGCATCCAAAACAGTAGCCGCTATCATACCTGAGACAAATACCAAGGTTTGTGGGGAGAGGGGGTTGAAGAAGCAGTAGGTAGGAGGTCTGTTATGGTCTAGTATGTTGGGATGCAACAGGTGATTAGAACCATGTGGAAGACGATGATTTCTAATCTGGGAAGGGGAAGGGGGCGTGGAACAGAGTCCTTCTGAAAAAGTTAATCTGGAACATCTGAAAAAGTTATTTCCTGTCTAAGTAATTTGTTAAACTGGATTTAAGGTTATAAGTATCAGTTACTTTAGAAATGAAAAGCCCTTAGGAGGGTATTGTATTTTTCTCACTTTGTAAATCCAAAGTTAAGATTACACTTAGTTAGGGCTACCATATTTCCAGGTCCAAAAAAGAGGACACCTGTCATGACCGGGGTGGGGGATAGGAATATGATGGAGGAGTAGTGACATGCCAGTGCCCTGCCCCTGCCCATTCTGTTGCCCCTCACTGACAAGCCACACCCACCCTCAGCCCTGCTGCTGCCTATCACCCCGGATCCACTGACCCCAGCTCTGCCAGGGCTCCTCACCTCCAAACAGCAGTACCCTGCCCCCACCCCTTGCTGGTGCCTCTCATTCCTGACCTGCAGCCCCCTGGCACTGCCAGTGCCTTACACACCCAACCCACAGTCACCCATCCTATCCCTCATGCCTCTCACTCCTGATTCAGTCTCCTGACCCCCTTCCAGCCTTGGCGGTGCCCCTCACTCCTGACTTATAGCCCCCTGCCTCTAGCCCTGCTGGTGCCTCTCACTCCTAACCCGCAGCCCACTGCCCCCCAGCCCTGCCAGTGCCCCTTGCTCCCAAACAGCCCTGCTGGTGCCCCTAACTCCCGCCTTGCAGCCCCTGCCCCCTCCCCCCCTTCCTGCTGCCCAAACAGCTACTGCATTGTGGGCAAGCCCACTCTTTCTTACTT